AAGTCACTGGGATTACAGGAGAGCACCATGGCACCCAGCTCCTCCTGACTACATGAAACGTGGACCTGACTCTATAATTTTAGTGGATTTACAGTTCAAAAGCCAGACGTAGCCAGGCGTGGTGGCACGTGCCTGTCATCAGCACTTAGATGGCTGAGTCAGGAGGATCACTTGAGACAAAGAGTTCAGGGCCAGCTTGGCCAACATGAAGACTCCGCTCAAAATCTAGAAGTAAAAGGCCTCCTGTGGCGGTGCCTACCACATCAGACAGCAAGGCCTAGACAAGGATGCGGTCCATCAGGGGACGGTTGCTGGGTCTGAGCTTCTTCTCACCTGTGGTTGCGTTGAGGGTCACCTGGAAGCCAGACGCTCCGTCCTTCTCGGCCCACACTGAGAGGGTGTACCGGGACGCTGCCTCGAGTCCGTGCACTGTGATGCTGGTGTCTGTCGTGTTTTGGGTCTCGTTTCTGCCACCATCTCCAGTGCACTGGACCCAGTAGGTGAGGTTCTGGGGGTCGGGGCCCTGGGGGACTTCCCAGTGCAGGGTGAGGGAGCTGTTGCTTCGAGCGTCTACTCTCAGGTTTCTCACTGGGTTGGGGACTGAGGAGGGAGAAGAGAACCACGTAGACCAAGGAGCAGAGGACTGCCATCCCTCCCACTCCCCAAGGTCTGCTCCAAGCTCAGAAACAACCCGGTTCATCAGGCCTTGCCATGGACCACCAGGACCTCCATGAAGACTCTAGGAGGCTCATGGGAGTTGAAGTCCTGGTTGGTTTTTTGTTTTGTTTTTGTGGACAGTGAATTCGGATGGGCTCACTCACCGGCTGCCCTGGACCCTGTCCAACTGCACAGAATCTACGAAAAGCCCAGGGAAAACACCATTAGACACAACCCCACTTCCCTGTTGGAGTAACCCACCCCGCCCCCATGAGTCACCAAGCCTGAGGAGAGGAGCAAAGGTCACCCTAGCATTCAAGTGCCCTGGGCAGGGAGAGCATGCCAGGGTGGGGCTCCAGGGCGCAGGAGCTAAAGTTGGCTCCGCGCTGAGGACAAGACGTAAACTTAATGGTTTCACTTTCAGAAAAATATAACCTTGTAATACTGGGAACAGGGAAGCAATCACCAAATACAGAAGAGGTGGGAAAAAAGGGAAATTGAAGCCCAGTGCAGTGGCAAAGGCCTGTGATCCCAGTGGCTCAGG